TATAATTAATATTATTTTAAAACAAAATATTTCATAAGAGTATAAATAAATAAAAAATAATTAATGAATGAAATGTTATAATATACATTTGTTCTGTAACTCATTTTTTTATTTAGTTGAAAACATTTCTGTATGTTTTCTGGCTAAACTAAGACTTGTAAATATACTGCCGTTTACTGTACCTGTAGTGTTGCTGATCTCTCCTTCAGCACACCGTATACAGTCATAGCAACAAACAGGCCTTCCTCTCTGAACTGCCTTTCGAGTGCCTGGAAGACAGCTCTCACTGCACACTGACTCAGGCTTCTGCAGGGCAAAGACAAAACAAACTGAAACTACAATGCAATGAAGATCTGTAAAATTAGTGGCAAACATGCAACTTTATTGACAATGAAGGATGAAAGGTAATATACTGTAGCTTTTCATACAGTACATTTGATTCAAAAACTTTTCTTAACAATCTATTTTCAGTGTGTTTTTAATTCCAGTACCTTTTTAAAAACCCTTGCCTTTTCTTATTTTAACATACAGTATACTGTAGATACATAATGTTGTTTTCATATGAAATATTCTAACATGACTGCCTTATACAGCAATGTACTGCATAAGGAAATGAAACATGGAAATGTAGAAAATAAAATATTGAAGCCAAACATACAATAAACAAGCCCAAATATTTAAGTTTCAATAACACCCATCAGTGTAATACACTGAATATATTTTATGCAAGAGAATATACCTTTTTTGTATGTGAAAATCCTGTTTCTATACGTCCTTTATTTCCCAACAATCTAAAAGCAAGAATTTCAGTGTATTTAAATGGAGACATTTCTGAAACTTTATTTTTCATTTTCAAAGGACGATTACCTCCCGTTGACCTCCTGCCCAGACGATGTTTGCTTCATTCATGATAAACTGTCGATCCCTAGGCAGCGAACCATCGTAGTAACCAACTGCCACAAAACGCAGAGTTCCTTCTTCTTGAAGTTTCCAGTTCACTAATTCATATCTTGCCACTGGATCTCCATTATCATCAAAGAAGACCTTCTCTCCTGTCTTCACTGTGAAGTTACCTTCTTTCAGATATTCAAGCATCTACAGTATATACAGTAAGAGAAAAAAGTTGATAGCATCATGAACATACAGTATGTTACGTTTACCTTAGATCTTAAGTAAATTGTAATTAGATTTAATTAAACACAACTTATTTATATTCCTTTACCTGCCATGGTTCGGTATTGGTCGTTTTTGCACAGCTGTAAAAATCATCATTTTCCTTTTTGCATTCCAGCAGGTTGTGTAGTGAATGGGCAACAACATACACCGCTTTATACACATTATTGGCTATTCTCATTTCGGTTACATCAGTGTACGGGTTTTGTATCTCATTTAGGTTCTCAGATCCCGTACAACGTTTTCTACCCATTGTATTGTTTTCGTTTAGATAACAATTAAATGTCGTCTCCCAAAACTCATTTAGGACATTGTTGCCTGGATCCTGGGATGGGTGGACATTCATTAAAAACTCCTTCAGCCCTTCTATTTGGGTTCTAATGATTGCAAACCCTATTGATCCGCTCAGAATTCTGTAACCTTCAGCTGTTGCCAGATTATTGGAGGTTATCCAGGCTTCACTGCCAACCCACTGGAGACCAGTTACATTCTGAAGGGATAGTTCTTTTAATAAAACATCCATGTCTCCTTGACCCACAAATGCTACGATAACCTTTGCAGTACTTTTTTTAATAACGTTTACAACCTTAAGAATTTTATCTCTGGGATCAGCCTGAAGAATGGACACCATGTATTCAATACAAATTCCCTCTCTTTGGGCAGCTTGTGCAAAGGTTTCTAGCCCATTGAGGCCATAATCATTGTCAGCTCTAATGGCTCCAACCCAGGTCCATCCAAAGTGCTTCACAAGCTGAGCCAGAGCTCTGCTCTGATAAAAGTCACTGGGGATGGTTCTGAAGAATGAAGGGAATCTTCTTCGATTGCTTAGACATGCACAGGTAGCAAAGTGACTGATCTGTAAGTAATTGAGAATGTTAATATTACAATATTTTGAGTTTGTCACGTTTGTACGGAAGAGAAAATATTTTTGGACATGAAGAGGTGTGAGTGAGGAGCTCTTCCGTGCTGATAGGTAAAAAAAAAAAAAAATCCAATTAACCGCAAAACCCTCCTCAAGGGGGAAAAAAGGTCCAAAACCGAAAAAAAACGGTTCCTTTGGTTTCTTTACCTTTCAGCATGGAATACATTTTAAAGTATTTGAATTTTTTTTCTCAGTAAAGAGCAGCACTGAAATTAATTACTGAAGCAATCCATCATCTGTTTTTACACTTTATACAATATTATTAAAACTAACTCAACATTGAATTAATTAATAATGGCAGCAGCTGTTTTCTCAAGTTTAAATATTATTATTATTAGGTTTTCTCTCACCAAGGGAATGTTGAATGATCCAACAGTCACTGCGATTGCTGCAGCGTGTGAAGATCTTGAATCTCCTATTATAGCCTGAACTGTAGGCAAGCTGGAGCAGTGTGTCTCGGAGAGAGATTCGTCAACTTCATTAATTAAAGCCATGGTGGCTCTTAATGCATGAGGTAAGGAGCAGGAATCATAGATCTTATAACCCAGGTAAATTCCTGGAAGAAGATCTGTTCTGTTATTTATTTCTTCTATGGCAAAGATCATTGTTTGTGTTGACTGAAATTCTCCAAAGTGGAAACTAAAAGGATAGAAGAGCAAATACTTTTTTACATATTTGTTTCACATAAGGATATATGATATACAGTACTAATATATTATTATATTTTATGTCATCAAATAATAAATATTTTTTTAAATCTTTCACTTACAAACATTACTTTAAAAATAGCATTGTATGAGTAGCTACTCATTAAGAATTTAAAACTGCTTAGATTCAAAATTATTAACATACCTTTTGCAGTCTGGAGGCTCTGGTTCACTCGTAAATGAAAATGTTTGATCCATGGTGCGTATGTGGAGTGCGAATACACCCCCAATCATAATATCTCTCTTGCTGTAAAACTGCGGTGTAACTGGTCTTCCCAACACTCTGCAAACAGGCTGTTCAGCTGAAATAAAAAGAGGAACAAGTAAGGTCAACACTGCGACTTGCTGCAGCATCCTGTAGTGAGTGAAGACACCTCCGTGTGATCTGTGATTAAACACACAAGTCTTTATATTGTACATGTGGTCTCTTGAGTACTTAGATAAACAAGCAGTGAACTTCAAACTCTAACCAGGAATTCTCAAAGGCATGATTTTTAAATCTGCCTTAGGGAAATAAAAAACAAAAGTAATTATACTGAAGTGCAATAAAAATGCAACAGACTGTTTACATCAACAACTCATTGGACACATACTGTACAACATGTAATTTTAAATGGTAAGCAGATAGATTTGTAAATTGTCTAAGAAGGATTGTTCCTTGGTACAATAAAATGCTGAGTTCATGTCGTATGATTTTATTAATATGACTGCTGCTCAGAATTTAATTTAAGACAAAATTGCCTGATTACCTGATCAAGAACCTATAAGAAAAGGCATTCAGAAAGGCATGATTTTAACTGGAGCCAGATACAATCAAGACCCACTTGACGAATTAAAATTACCTGGCTGTTATTGGCCCAGCTGAAGTCAACGTTTGCTTTTTACAATCCTTTTTACAATCAATAGGATACAGTCCATCACAAGCAAACCTTTGCCAACTGTCAGCTACTGTCCAGAATGAGTGGCAGAATATATACTGTATATTGACAGAAAAAAATGCTGTCTTTATATCAAGTTATTATATCAAAAATGTTGTATAATTCTTTTATCTGTATTTTTGTTCACATTTTCTTTTATTATTTGATTTCCATGTTTAAAGGGGAACTTAATAACCTTATTTTAGACTGGTTATAAAATCTCAGTAACAAAATAATTACAGTGTGGTAACATTTTGCTAATTCCAAATTAAGCGAAAAATTGTGAACTTTGTGAAACTACCATGTGGTCTCCATTTTGCTGCAAACCCCTGGTCTTACCACAGGGGAGATCAAGAGTTTGTACAATGGGGAGGGGCGCTTCCCACTCACTAGTCTCTGTAATGACTAATGTAACACAATGTACAAGTGAATAAGTGCAGGTTGTGCAGCTAACATTCCACCGTGACAAGTCTGGTCTGTGAAGATGAAAGATTTCTCCAAACCCATAGTTTCTCATTTCACCTCAGACGGCCATGATCACACTGATCTCTCTGCCTGTGTTCTCAAAGAAGGGTTTCTCAACTCCCATGGCAGAAAGACAACAGAAACTAAACTCATCCTGAAACTAAGTTCACATCTTCCCCGTTCTCTCGATGACAGACTTATTTTAATGTAGTCTTCTCTATTCTCATGCAGGTTTTGACTTCACACCCTTCTTCACCCCTCTCTACTTTGCAATTCCTGAGTGGCCTCCCTGCTTCTCCTGCCTCCTCCCCTCTCCCAGCTTTTGTTCTTCTGTGCTATTTAATCTTTGCTGTCTGCCCTGTCTTTCTCGCACCTAAAGAAGGCGTCACACACGAAACATTGTGTTTTCTCTCTTCTCTTTTCAGCATGGAATAAACCTATTGCTTGGTATGTACAGTACTGTATATTATAATAGTACAAGCAGCATTCCCCTAATCTCTGCAAAAGACAGTAATTATAGTATTAGAACACACATCCATTTTTTATTTTCTCATTTTAATAAGTGTTACCAAACTGAAGAGATCTGGCCATTTGGAATCAGCAGACCAGCCTTGTTTTTGAAGTGTTGGCTGTTTCCTTTACCATACTGCCAGCATGTCTTTCCTCACACAAACTGACTATGCAAAACCCTCTTAAACATTACATTTTAAACTCAGGTTGATTTAAATTTAAAGTTCTTTATTATTTTCATTTCACATTTCTCAATCTGTAAAGTACAATATCTGCAGAAAACATAATTACCATATATCATACGATGGTTTTTTAAAAATATCTACTGATGGAATAAAGAAATGCAACACCTCCTCATCCACACTCTAGCCCTCTGCGTGGAACAGGCTGAAGAGTGACTCATCTGTGAAGAGGACCTGATGCCACTGACGAGTCCATCTCAGCTTCTGTCTTGCCCAAGCCAGTCGAGTGTGATGTCTTGGAGTTGTGAGCAGAGGGCCTCTGACAGGTAGCCTTGCTCTAAGGCCAGCAGCATGGAGCCTCACTGTCCTGTCACTGATGCGGGCATTGTGTCTGCCGGCAGTTTCAGCAGCAGTACGGGTGACAGATCTGAAAAGATCTTTCAGATGGAGCCATCTGATGTGTCGGCCATGCTCTGGTGTGGTCACTCAAGGGCGACGAGATCTTGGATGGCCATCTGTCCTGCTGGTCTGTTCAAACCTTCTCTGCAGTTGGGACAGGGTGGAGAGGCTTACTCCATAGTGTCTGGCAACGCTGGCACATGACATGCCTGCCTGCAGTATGCCAATGGCCCTCTCCCTTGCTTCTGGTGACATTCAAGGCATTATGGAATGCACAGAAAACTGACTAAGTGTGTTTTTTTTCTTGCAATGACCTAAGCTTTGAATTAAGGCCTTTTTAAAGGTAACCTGATCGGGCATTGTTACACCTGGACCTCGTTGGGTAAAAGTGCACCTTACGAACTTTTGTGTGATTAGCAGGTTGCAATGCCTCACTGTACAAGATATATTGCTGGTCAGAGGGCTTAAAACAAATTGACAACTTTTTGTAAAAGTACATAAGGTATAACTACAGTATTCTCTTTCCAGAAAATGATGTGTTTCTTTTTTCCATCCCTGATAAGCACATGGCATTTTGAAAGTTCTTTTAAATTGTTTATCAAATAGATTTATTATAAAGATCCAAACACTGTTTAAAACGTTAAAATCAAATAAGAACAACGACAATAATAAAGTAATCGTTGGGGTGTAAAGGAATCAGGTGTCGACACCTGAAGAAGGCTCCATGGCCGAAACGTTGTGTTTTCTTTCTTCTCTTTTCAGCATGGAATAGACCTATCACTTGTTCCTTAACAGATATTAAACGTTACTTTATTGTATCATAACAACAGACTAAAAAGCAACAACATGTAAAAAGTGTACAGGGGTCTGAATACTTTAGCAAAACACAGCTTATGGGATTTCCTTGGCATTAACTAATTTGCACACACCCTGAATTAGAGGTTCAAAGAATATACAGCTACTAACCAAAATACAATATGGTTCCATATCATGATTGCAGATGTACTCAAAACATAATTGCAGTGTTTTTAAACTTGCTCTTCTAACAGAGTGGGGGGTCATTTGGAGGCTGAAAGAGTGGCCAGCGTGTAGAGTTCCTGTAAAGATCACAGCAGGCAAACAGTTACTCCCTGGAGTGGGGACAATGAGCATCTGGTACTGTTGAACAACATCATCATCATCGTCGTACTAGTTATTGTTAGCATTTATTGCAGAGGTTCAGGTTTAGCATAGGTAACATTAAACAGTTACATCAGAATGAATAGATTTGTGTATAGTAATGGATATACATATTTT